GGTCTTGTAGATTATTATTTCATTCATCATGCAGAGCGGATAGCTGTTTTTCTCCCAACGCCTAGGCACGCTTATTCTTCGCCTAGGCGAGCTAGGCGCAAGGCAAAGGCTCAACGCCTGCCTTACGCCTAGCGCCTTTTTGAACCTTGGTTTCAACACTCTCAAACTGGAACAAAACCAGTATAACCAAATGCATAATCAAATACCCGGCCATTCCAACCCCATAAACACCGAGCCCATCGTCGGATCTTGACTATCGGAGGAGCATCTGTGAGAAATTGACCAACTAAAATATTTCTCCAACGAAGCGCACCCTCGTCTCAAACCGCTGGCGGGATCACTAAATCGCGTTCAACCAATGCGTAGTGGAGACCATTACCCATCCCCACTCTGAATAGCTGAGCCTAGATTACCTCCATTTTCAATTTTACCTAAAATGCCGATTTTGACGGCTTTGATATATCAATTCACAACAATTGTAACAACCGAGAATTTGGTTAGGTACGTAGTAGGTATAGGAATACGTTAGCATGGTTACTTATTTTTTAGTAATTATGGTGGCTGCTAAAATCTACAACATTCATTATCTCTATTTCATCTTAATTTTAAATTAACGGTAAAAATTAGATTAAGGAAAATTTTGAAAATGAAATAAATGTCACACCTGATTACTCTATATATATCGAAACCCTACTACAACTCATCCTCGCCCATCCCCTAGCGCCGGCGCCAGCTTCCTCCTAACCCCCTCTCTGATCTCTCGCCGCGCCGCCGTCCCCTCTCCCATCCCTACCCCACCCATATCTCTCTCTCTCTCTCTCTCTCTCTCTCTATATATATATATATATGGGTGATTCTATCGTACCTTGGGTAAAATCAAGGGTACAACATACCATGAGTAAAAAAATGATATCTAGACCTCGAATTGAGCATAGTTTGGCATCTGATATTATTCCCAAACCCTTAAGGATTAAAATCTAGGTCTTAGTTTTATAAATCTCATACACTAAGATCAATTTAATTAGAAACAAAAATCAACGGCTATGATTTGTCGAAATATATGAAACAAATTACAGGCACAATCTTAGGGATTAGGCTCTTTGATTTAGAAATCTAAGACCTAGGTTTCAATCACCAACGGTTAGAGTATAGTATCATGTCCAAAAATCCGGTTAATTCGAGGTCTAGATAGCATTTTTTACTCATGGTATGTCGTACCCTAGATTTTACCCAAGTATATATATATATATATATATCCGATAGCGGGAGGAGCTGATGGACAAGGGATCTGTGCGAGTACGGAACTGCGGAGGTCGTCAAAGCAATTGGCGGCGCTGGTCATCCTTTTATCTCCGACCCTCTCACCTTAATTGTATTGTTTTTGTCGTATTGGTATTGATTTTGTTGCATTGGTATTGTTTTTATCCCATTGGTATTGATTATCATGTAATCGTATTAATTTGCATGCATTGGTATTGATTAAATCTACAATGATATTAGTTTTTTGTGAAATGGTATAGATTTATAATGGTAGATTGTTTATATTGGTAGTTTTCGTGTAATGGTATAGATTTATTTTTGCAATGGTATTGATGTTTTGCAAAGTGGTAGTGGTTGTCTAATAGATTGATAGTGATTTCGTATTTTTTTTTTCTTTTGCAGAAAGATTGAGAAAGATAAGGAAAGGAGATCTGGCTGGAGATTATGGAAGTGAGAGAAAGAGAGAGAATTGCAATAATTAGATTTTTGTAAGTACCTAAAATGTAATTTATTAAAAAATTAATTAATGCAATTTATATTTCCATACTCAATTTATCCTTAGTAACCATGGTGATTACTACAAGTAGTAATCACCATAACCTGTCCCAGTAGGTATACTTAGCCTCCCGTATTAATCTATAGCAACTTATAGTAGGCCATGTAAAATAGACAAGATCGTTTTAAAAAACATGGACCAAAATGGATCGCACAGGTTGGTTAGAACCATAGACCGTTAAGAATGATATATATATATATATATATATATATATATATATATATATAGTCTGGTGATGGTCTGTATATATGATGTGTAGATTTCTTGGTCTAGTCTAGTTCGTGGTTTATCGGATCAAACTTTTGACCCAATGGACTTTCCAATACGTGTTAGCAGTTCACTCTACCACTCTCTCAACTCCCGCCCCCCAACGAGATATGCTAGTCTTAGCTCTAGTTTTGAGAATCTTATCCCCTCCTTAATTCACAACCACATTTCACAAGAGAATAGAGACGATCGTATCTCTATATGACATTATGTTAATGTTTGTTACGTTGTGGTGCAAGTTGGGATGCTATTTTGTATATCTTTGTTATTTACAGAGATTTAGGGTGTCGAAATTATTCAAACATGCTGACATTTATGTTTTAAGGAAAAAAATTATGGGTTATTTTGGTTCAATTTTTCGTGTGGACAACTAAACAAATTGTTCATTCTGTGTTTAATATGATCTATCTGGACCTGACTGTACCGAACCAAATCCCACAGACGTGATCTTGACCTTATAGTATGCGTTCTGGTCTCTAATCTATACTCTGCCATCCCGATCTAGACCGTAAATCATATATATGATCTGATTTAGACCGTATATGGTCCAATCTAGACCAGATCGCACCGTTTCTCAGCCCAAATTTATAATTTAATTTGTGTTTCGTGCCTTGGGGAAAAGGGATATATTCATAAATAAAAATAAGTATCGTATTATTGATGTGTTTGATCCTTGTTTGATCCACTAGTTAGCTAGTCATGGGTCGAGAGTAGAAAGCTTCCAGAACAGTTCTTCTCTGAGACTGTGACCCTTACATAATTGATTCAATTCAATATTCCTAAGGTTAAATCGTCATCTTCAGTCTTGCCAATTGCCATCAAAGACAGCGGGGTAGACCCCCACATGACCAAAATTATTTAGGTGTCGTTTGCTTCAAGGATTTAGTATATGGATTTGGTACCAAAAAACCAACTATCAAGGATTTAGGTACAATCCGTTGTTTGCTTGTACCTTTTTTGGAGACAAAATCCGTGTGGCCCACAGATTTTAAGGGTCCAAATTCGTGGACCCCACGGACTTATAAATCCCACATGTTGATGTGGGATTTGGAATATGACATAAATCCTTGATGAGATTTTACTCATATACCCTCATGCACTTTTAATATTCCAAGGTTGCCCTCAAATTTAACTATTATACATTATAATTAACAATAAATGAATAATATAAACGTTCAATTAATGTGCAAACATGAGTTAGATTTTTTATATCATTTCTTGTGTTCTAGTTTTCTTTGACCTTTTCATGGAACGTGTAATTCTTTGTTCTCCCGATTCTAATATATGTTGTTATATGTCACTTTTGAAAAGGAGGACGAAGAATTGGTAATTGATTATGTTACGTTAAAAGTTAAAACGGAATTTTCTCGTTTATTATTATTGTCCATGTGGCAACATTATGCTTATTAGTATGTATTGTCCTTGTTTTGTGTACATATCATAAACATGTCAAACATATAGAAAATGATAGTAAGGTAATTTTGAAGTTTTGTCCTTGTTTTGTGTACATATCATAAACATGTCAAACATATAGAAAAGGGCAGTAATGTAATTTTTGACTTTAAGTAGTAAATCCCACAGCTTTTAAATCCATGATAAAAACATCCCAACAAACAAAGGATTGTTACAAATCCATGATGCCTCAAATCCTTGATAAATCCTTGAATTTTTAAATTACAAAACCCTCATTTTTAAATTCATGAAGTAAACGACCCCTTATCTTCTTTGCTTCCTTATCTCCCTGCTGCCAGGCTTATTTGAGTTATTCCTCTCTTAGCTTGACACTTTGCTAAGTTCCAGAAAGCCATAACAAAAAAAAAAAAAAAGAAAAAAAAATTCAATCAGTGCAAGAGGTTAACTTCATAATCCTTTTCTTAGGAACATCGGATAAATTGAAACGATACAGCGATACAGTCTATAAATCATTTGAAGTTTGGAAGTTTGATAACTTTTTAAAATAGTCGAGTAAATGTAAGTTATAAAAGCTGTCATAAGACAATGGCGACCATGATCCCAACCATCTTCTCCGAAGTCCGAACTCTACACCGTCGCCCTCTTCTTCTCCAGCCTCCTCCTCCTCAAATTCCGGGTCCTCCTCCGCTCCTTACCCGGGTCGGACCCGCCCGCGGACCGATCCGACCAGAATCGGGTCAGCTCAATCGAGGCCAACTTCCCGGCGGCCCCCCAGCGGCGGATCCAGAACACAGAAGAGCACTGGGCCGCATTTCATTAGAATATTAGAATCGTAAAAAAATATTATAATTTTTTTACAATATAAATTGTACACGATGGTATTTTAATTTAGCGAATACATCAATAATGGAGTCTACATCCATACCAATAGTATACACTGTTTTAAATAAAATACTTGAGCAATCAGCGAGAAATTCATTGCTCGTTTTGTTGCATATATAAGTTTTCATATGTTTCATTGTTGAAAAGGTTCTTCCTGTAGTAATTGGTGATACAATCAGCGTCAACGCTAGACAAATCAATCGTGCATTGTGTGTCCATACCTATATCCACTAGCTGCTTTAGTAAATTTCCAGGGAATAAAACTCATATTTCTTATAGTCTTTTACGTTTAGACTTTTAGATTTCATTGTTTTTTTAGAAGAATAATCTTTGGAGGTAGAATTTCTAGGCTAAATTTATAGTAGTGATTTTAATATGTTAATTTGAATCATTTTTCTAGTTACACCCAATTTTGTTGTAAAATAACACTAGGCCGAATGACTAAAATCGAAAAATTCATAAAGACTATACTAACTCCGGATCCAGAGGAGGGCTGGGCCCGGGCCCGGGGTGGCCACCCCCTGGATCCGCCAGTGCGGCCCCCTACTGCTCGAAACCGAAATCGGCGGCGGAATGCGCGGTGTGCCTCTCGGATTTTCGCAAAGGGGAAAGGGTCAGGAAGCTGGACTGCAAGCACGTGTTCCACCGCGACTGCCTCGACAGATGGCTGACGTCGCCGGCGGGTTTGGCAGGGTCGTCTTGCCCGCTTTGCCGAACTCGGCTAGCTCTGCCGGCTCCGGAGGAAGGGAAGGGGACGGCCGCGGCGGTGGACGACTGCGGTGGCGGTGAATGGGGCCGTCGGGAGATGTTGGCCTTGCTGGCTAAGTTCCGAGAAGAAGGCAGCCGCCCGGTGGCGGCGGCGATCCCGAGGCCGACGTATTAATAGGCGAACCAAGATGAGCATTCGTCGGCCGGCGATGGCGGCATCTTTCGGGGAAAATGATGTTTTGGAGTCCGTGTACAGTTATTAGCAGTAGTACAATTAGGGACGTTTTTTAATTTTGTTTTGTGACTTTTGGCGCTTGCCGAACTTTAGTTGCTAGCATTTATTGAGCTTTGTACTGATTAGTGAAAGAATGGAACTACGTGCCAAAAACGTTTGCTCGTCAGCAGCCTCTTTTCTCTTTAACGTCAACTCGTTTTCCTTGTTGATTGTAACGTCAGGGCCGGACAACACATGTTCATCCACGGGACTAGACTAACTAATATTATTATTATTGATTTCACAAAATTATTCAGTATGGCGGGACAATAAATCTTGGAGAGAGACCCTTTCTCATAATTAGGAAGTCTAAATCATATTGATTACCGATTTCAAATATCTAAAACTCATACTCGTCCCATACCTGTGGATTTTGGGTACCTATGGATAACACCCGTCCCGTACATCCAACATTATAATGCCTAAAACTTTACATGTAAATTTTCAATTATAACCAAGGTTGTCAACCCGCGGATTGACCCACTTTGACCCTGACCCGAAGAGAAAAATGGGCCGCTCGCACCCGCCGGGTCGACGGCTACAAAATGCCAGGTTGGAGGTCAAATTGTGTCATTTTTTTCTTTGGTTTGCGTAATGCACCTATTTTTCAATTTTTCTTTTCGCCTAACTCAATCTTTGGAATCCTAAGTTGAACATTTGAATGTTGATGTTATATAAGTGTGTGTGAATTTTCACTATGTGTTGGATCTAAGTACCACATGTTATTTTTGTGAAATATTATATGTTATAACTCATATGTTAGATGAGATTTGATATAATTTATTAGGATAAGTACAATATAATGACTATTTCCATATTTTCAGGCTAAAACGGGTGAATCATTAACCCTTGACCCACTAGCTTGACCGGGTCCGGGACAACCCGCGGGTTGACAACCTTGATTATAACACTAAACACACAAAATATATCATGATTCATGAAGTCGACAAAAGAGACAATCATTCTTATTACGGTTCAAAATATCTTATCTTAAAACAGTACTACGGTCAATCCGTCGCCGGAAGGAAGAACGAAAGCGGGAATTTGGAAGAACGCAAGTTGAATGAAGAATAGAAAAGAAAATTAGGTTTTTTGGCAAAGGGAATTTTTTTTCCGACTGCAGTGGCGCATAAGTGCATTAGTTTTTTAATTTAAAATTAATTTTTTGAATTTAAAATGTGATGTGGCATCCACTAAGCCTGATAAGCCTACGTGGACTTGATGTGTCGTCCATATGGCATCCACATCGTCCTAAAGTTTGTTTAATTGATATGGTCATTGATGGTGTTAAAGTATGTGACACAAGTGTAAGCCCAATTCCCGTATGTCACTAGGGAATAATTGTGGCTCAAGTGTAATTATCACTTAATGGTTTAATATATAAGGTAAATCCTATATTGATTAGGTTAATGAAAGGTAAATTCCTAATATACCCTGATGGTGGGTCTATATAAAGAAGCTCTAGGATTGGTCCTCTCTCAACCCATTACGTAGAATTTCTTAGCCATCACATAAATCTCTAAACCTAAAACATAAAGGAGTCAAGAGGGAGAAACTCAATTCCGGTGATTATTACTCCAGCGCCGCCGCCGTTCTCGTCATGGATCGAGGTAGGTTTTCCCGATCTATTATCGATTCGTGAAATGGAGATATAGTTCAAATTAAATTTTAATATAATAAGATAAAAATAGACCTAGCATTATTATTTAAAATGTAATACCTCTTTAGTATTGTTTAAAATAAACTTACCAATTAGCTTTCTAATTATTTTTTTATGAATATTAGCTCTCTAATTTTTTGTATAGGAGATCATTTTCCGTCGTTACCATAATTAATCCATTAAGACTTTTTTTAATGACCAATCATGAACTTCAATTCTTAATATACCCGATGACAAAACTTGCAATTTCGGTAAATTTTGTTTCATGTCATTGGGAAAGGATACGTGTTATTGATGTGTTTGATCTTTTATATAGTTGACCCACTAATTAGCTAGTCATGGGTAATGGTGTCGGTTAGCCGCATCTAAGGGTTGGAAAAATGACACCTCCTATTGATTATAGTTGTTTTTTGTATTAAATTCGTGTTGCATTTAATAATATTTAGAAATTAAAAACACGGGTAAATGACACATTTGGTCACTGAGATTATTAAATTGTGTCATGTTTAGTCACTAGAAAAAATTAATATCAATTTTGGTCACTCGAATTACCGAAACTGGTCAAATTTAGTCACTCTCCCATCAGTTTCCGTCCAACTCCATTAATGTAGTTGGACGGAAACTTTTGGGAGAGTGACTAAATATGACATGTTTCAGTAATACGAGTGACTAAATGTGACATTTTCAATAATTCGAGTGACCGGAGTTGGACAGAGGCTACAGAAGAGTGACCAAATGTGACCTGTGTCAGTAATTTGAGTGACCAAAATTGATATTAAATTTTTCTAGTGACTAAATATGACACGATTTAGTAATCTCAGTGACCAAATGTGTCATTTACCCTTAAAAACACATATTAATTATATTACTTTTTTTAACCACAATTGTCCCGAGACAACTATCATAGCACCTCTACACTGAACTCATATTAATTAAATTCATTTTGTTGAACTAACATTGCACTCATACAACTACCAACGCATATGTACACTGATACCATTACACTGAATAAAGAAAACTAATTAATATGAGTTTTTAATTCAGATTTTTTTTTTAAATGCAACACAAATTGAATTACCTTAAAAGCCTATAATTAATAGGGAGTGTAATTTTTTCAACTCATTTAGAGGTAGTCTTAGCCCTTAGGTCATCCAATTCGTGGGTTTAGCTCCCACGATCCCGCTCTAGAGCGGCGAAGCGCAAATTTTCAAAAATACTCCAAAAATCGCGAATTAATGAATCTCGGGGCACGACTTTTATCTGGAAGAGCGCGATTTTTTGGAGTATTGGCACATAAGAGGCTATGAGAGGTTGTAGAAGGGCCAACGACTATTGACAATAGACTAAGATTGTTTTGCAATAGGATCAGGGGTAAGATCACTAAAGGTAAAATAGGAGAAGGAATCATGCAAAGCCCAGATATGCTTCCTTTTGTTGTATGAGTGTGCGGTGGTCAATCATCTAAATCGAAAGAAAGGGCTGCTACTATATCTAAATCAAAAGAAATCCCAAACTGATTGCATGCATCTGCTAAAAATCATCTAAAACAGGATATGGAGAGAAAATGGAAGAGAAAAGGAGATGGACAAAGAGTTATTTAATAAAATAATTATATCCGAATAATTCATTCATAAATTAAAAATAACCAATTATATAATCATACTTTTCATAAACAATTACGAAGGAATTTCATATAGTGAAAGAAACGCAAAAACATTCGTTGTCTACACTATTATATAAGTCTCTTTCAATGTATCTTATTAAATAAGTATTAGCAAACTGATCGCCAAATCGACTTGGAAACTTGTTCTTAATATAACTCAAAGCTGAAAGTGCTCTTTTTACACTTGCAGTTGTAATTGGTAGATCAAAACTAGTGGGATTGTCGTAGTCGCTATACAATTTCAGGGTTGTTGGGGAAAAGATCGAATAAGCATAAGGAGAAAAGAGACCCGATTAGGTCTTTATTGCAATTGGAATTTCGTTTATAGTATAATAAATTAATTTTATGTCAATTTTGGACAACAGTTTTTTTGTAGTGACAAAGTACTCTAGGTGTTGTGTTCCATCACCAATATAAATATATATGGCGTATTTTTGTTCCACCGAAATTTATCCCTGTTCCGGGACAAGGCCCAAAGGGCCTGCCTCCACCCCTGGTAGGTACGGGTAATAATCGATTTTTTAAAGGGGGTAATAATCGATATGAAGAGTCATGACTCAATTTAAAAGGTTTTAAATGGTTATTGAAGTAATAAAAGGTTTCTCGTAATTTTCTTGGGTGCTATATTTTTTAATATTTCATGATAAGAATTGTTTAATTACATTAAGAAAATAATTAAATAATATAATATTGGCGATCTCATCACGCTCTTAATATAGAATTCTTCAAAACTCGACGCTCTGATTGGCGGAGCCACATTGTTGGTTGTGGGGTCAATGGACCCCGTTTGGAAGGTAAAGCTAAGTCAAAAAATGCCAAGGTTTTCAAGAGTGGAGAAGGGGAATTGAACTTTGGACCCCATGATTCAAACTCAACACCGTTACCATTAAGGCACAAGTTTTATTTGATTGATAGTTGGACCCCACAGTACTAATCTTCTGGTTACGCCAATGCCTCTGACATTTTCGCTCCCGCTCTCACTCTACGCTCTGGTTACCTAAGCCGATACTGGAGAGTAGAAAGCTTCCAGAACAGTTCTTCTGTGACTGTGAGACTGTGACCGTTGCATATAATTGATTCAATTCAATGTTCCAAACGTTACATCGTAATCTTCAACCTAGTATCAAAGACAACAGGGGAGACCCACATGGCACAAATTATTTAATCTTCTTTGTCTCTTTTTTTTTTTTTTTTTTTTGCGAAAAGAGAGGCAAAAGCCAAGCACAGAAGTACAGGGGGAGAGCTAAGAAATAGAGTGAGAAGGCGTCACAACCCGACGCTCGAAAGTAATGCCCATGGCGTCTTCTCTAATAAGGAAGACTAGCCCAGGGGCGGGTTTGCAAATTCATGCATACCGTAGGGATAGACGAGACTGTGCTTCGAGAGCCAGTCCGCGACTCTATTCCCTTCCCGGTATATATGAGAAATGCTCACCAGCCAATCTTGGCTAATCTTCCTCCGGATCGCAGATAGCAAAGTCGCATAAGGGTGAACAGGGGTCTTGACGATTGTTGATAAGCTAGATCGCTAGCTGGGAATCAGACTCAAATCGGACGGCACGACATCCCACTCTCCAGGCCAGATCAAGGCCATGGAAGATGGCCCACAGCTCAGCCAGAGCGGCGGTCGCTGTCCCAATATTCGCAGTAAAACCAGAGACCCACTTGCCAGTCCAATCACGGAGGACTCCTCCGGCTCCTGCCGCTCCGGGATTCCCGTTGGAAGCTCCATCAACGTTAAGAGCTAACCATCCATTAGCCGGAGGAGTCCAACCAATCATGGCGATAGTCCGGGCCACCATCTGACCTCTGAGATTGGGAAGGGGGAAAGTAGCTTGCCAAGCCTCATACCACAGTCTGCACTTAGCCACAATCGAGAACTCAAGGGAGGGAGGAGAGAGGGCTTAGTTCAAACCTTTAAAGAATGAAGTGCATCTGTTCTTCCAAATCAGCCAGGAGGAGACACTGAAGAAAGCCCAACTCATGTCCGAGTCCAAGCACTCGCTACTCTTAAGATTATCTCGCAGCCAGCTGCTCTGGTCCAGACTGAAAAAATGCTGTTGCAGAGTCGTCGGGATGTGCCGAAGCCAGACATACCTAGCAGGGGGGGGGCAGTCCCGGAGAATGTGGAGAATGGACTCGACCCGGTCACCGCAACGAAGACAACACTAGTTGTTTGTCACCTTCCTGGAGAAGAGAAGTTCCTTAGTGGCCAATTTCCCCAACGTAGCATCCACCTGAAGATCCTGATTCTTTCCGGCACCGGAAGGCTCCAAATGATCTTCCACAGCTTCTCGTCTGGGTCTGCCGGCCGCTGGTTCAGAAGGGAGTACGCATACTTAGTAGAAAACCTCCCACCCGACGATGCTGACCAAAAAATGGTGTCCTCTTCCGACGCCATCTTGTCAACCCCTATGCTGAGAATCCTCTGAAAAATATGGCTCGAAAGGAGATTCATGAACAAATCCGTCCGCCAGGCTCCATTATCCTCCACAAAGGAAGCAATCGGCTCGTCTTTTAGCGTCTCCGGGACGAGGCCGATAGCAACGTCCCTAAGAGGAACTTGCAAAATCCAAGTATCCAACCAAAACTTAGTGTGCTTACCATTCTTAATATTCGAGGCGCAACTCTTCCGAAGAAGGTTAGAAGCTTTGGACAAGCTTCTCCAGGTAAAGAAACTTCCCTAAATTGGTCGAATGATCTCGATATTTTTCCACTGTCGACCATACTTCGTCACCATTAGCTGGGTCCAGAGGCTATCCTTCTCCTTAAGCAGTCGCCACCCACTCTTGGCTAGCATAGCGAGATTGGCGTGCTTTAGGGATCTTAAGCCTGCCCCTCCCTGATCTTTTGGCTGAATCATCTTTTCCCAGGCCACCAAGTGCATCTTTGACTTGTCCTCCTCGTCTCCCCATATAAAGTCCCTGTTTATCCTGTCAATACTCTTACAAACCGCACTAGGGATTAGCTCCGTATTCATGCAGTAAGTGGGAATAGACGAAGAGACAGATTTAACAACAGTGAGCCGAGCAACAAAAGAGATCCTTTTCGCTTTCCAGGGTGTCAGTTTCTTCTGAAGTCTAAGAAGTAAACTCTGGTAGCGGCTTTGAGACACCTCCCATGGATAGTGTGGAGCCCCAGATACTTCCCTAGCTCCGTCTTCAAATGAATTCCTGCTCGCCTGCAAAAATGTGCTGCCTTATGACGGTCTACATTGGGCGACACGTATAGCAGGGATTTGCTGTAGTTCACTCTTTGACCAGAACAGAGGCAGAAGTCATCTAAACATTGCCAGATAATCCTCATATGTCTCGTCTCTGCTTCTGCAAACAAAAAAAGATCATCTGCAAAAAAGAGGTGAGTAAGCTGTGGTCCTCCCCTAGTCAGATGAATGGGTTTCCATATCTTGTTATTCAATGCCTCATCAATCAAGTGAGATAGACGTTCCATGCACAAAACAAAAAGGTAGCGAGAGAAAGAGGGTCTCCCTGGCGAACTCCGCGAGTTGGAAGCAGCGGTTGTGAAAGCTCCCCATTCTAGAGAATTCTCATCCGATTCTGCTCCACACAGTACATGATATAGTTAATCCACGAACTAGGCAGCCCCACTTCTTTGAGAGTATCACGAAGAAAGTCCCATCTCAACATATCATATGCCTTCTCTAGATCAACCTTGAAGATGATCCCTCTCTTCTTCCCTTTCCTCTTCTCTAGTGTATGGATGACTTCCTGCACCACGATGATATTGTTTGTAGTCTGTCTCCCCGAGATGACACTGCTTTGCCTTGGTGAAACTAGCTTCCTCATGATCGGCTTCAACCTGCTAGTCATTTCCTTCATGATGGCCTTCAGACTGATATTGTTGAGGGATATAGGTCGAAGCTGAGAAACGAACTCCGGACTATCCACCTTCGGGATGAGCACCACTGTAGATTCCGAAACGGCTTCCGGGAGAGTACTTGCAGAGAAGAAGTTAAGAGCCAATTCTGTTAGAGCCTTACCTACCACCCGCCACATTTGTTGATAGAAGACCGCCTGGAAACCATCCTGTCCGGGAGCTTGGTACGGTTTCATATAAAAAATGGCCCTGTGGATATTGGTGATGGTAAAGGGTACAGAAGCATCATCAACTCTGCATGTTCAACCCTGGGAAATGCATTTTTGGGCAATCTGTCCTCATAGACGGAGTCATCCTGTAGGTACAGCTGGGTCAGAGAGTCAAAGACAAGGGTAGCAAGCTCCTGCGGCTCCTCAACCCAATTGCCATTGGCATCCCGGAGCGTCAAGATTTTGTTGCGCCGTCTTCGCCTATTGACCTGCTGATGGAATAGGTTGTGTTCCTCTCCTCTTGTCCACGTGTATCTTGAACTCGAAAATCCCAAATCAATGAGCTCGACCCTGTTGATCCTCTCGTTGAACTTCCGGCACCTCCTAGCAGTCGCCGCCGAGGATGGCCCTGTCTTCTCCTTGAGGCAACAAATGGCGTTGAAGTCCCCCGAGAGAATCCAGGGTTCATCGACCTTCTCACTCTGCTCGATAAGGTTGTCCCAGAGATACCGTTGTAAATACTGACGGGGAGAGGCATAGATCGCGGTCAGCACCCAGGGACGACACCCACTCTGACGAACACGGACGGAAATGTGTTGATTGCAAGGCGAAAGGAGTTTTGTAGAGAATCTCCCACTGTCCCAACAAATCCAAATCCCGCCCTTGCGCCCATCAGCATCCACTCTAATGGAGTTAGGGAAACCGATTTTGTCACAAACTAAATCAGCCGATTTCTCGCTGATTTGGGGTTCCAGGAGAATCACGAAGTCCGGGCGATGATGGCGGATGCTGAGTTTCAAAGCTCTAGCAAAAGATTTGCTACCTACACCACCCACATTCCAAGAGAAAATTTTAACTATGGGTTTAAAAGACATGGAAAAAATAAAGCAAGGCAGGATGAAAGAAAAGGGAGGAATGAGCAAAATCACAAGTCGAGGGCGAGCGTCGAAGAGCGGAGGCGGAAGACACCAATTAGAAAGCTGGGAGAGATGGCTCTCCAGTTGGTTCTCCGTGGCTCAAATCCAGGGTCGAGGTGTCCACAGGGTCCTTCGCCACCGAGGTTCTCGTAGGTAGATTCGCCACCTCCGTCCAGGCAGATATCTCTTGTAGAGTGAGCGAGGCCATCCGGGTCTTTGACTTCGACTTCTTCTCTTTCATCGACGACCAGAGCTGGAAGGGACGGATATGGTTGAGCTTCGCAGGGGACCCTTTCTTCACTCGCCCCTTGGAATTCTTCCTTCCCTTCGTCCTGTTCGCCGTTGACGGTGAGGCCTGGTCTGCCCGATGGAGAGGCGCTTCAATTTGCGGTAGGACTTGCACCACTTGCATCACTGTCCCATTTGGGCCCGTGGTCACCAAAGTTGAGGGAGGGGTGAAGGAGGTGGTGGGTTTGGCACCTTGGGCTTGAGGCCCAGCTGTAGTTCCTCTATTAGGCCCACTAGTCGGGATCAGGGGAGTTTCAGACTGTATACCCGACGTGGACGCCTTCAAAGCATCTGATTTGGGCTTAAGCCCTTTTTTAGCCACGGGTCCCAACGATGGGTCTGGTCCAAGAATCCCCTTACCTGCCGGCGACTCCTCCTCCCTCATAATGCCTTTACCGTTCCTTTTCTCCGTCCCATTTTGAATTTCTCCATTCCTTTTCCTTTCTTGACCTGATGACCGTTGGGGAGGTGGCGAGCTCTGTTGATCCAGAATCGGTAAGGAATCCCTCGGCTCTTTACTTTTTGTTCCATTCTTTCCATTTCTGGGGGTGATCACCTGAATTGTGGCCCCCGAATCCCTTTGCTTTCCTTTGTTACTCGTCTCCCGCTGATTCGGCCGTCCTTTGTGCGAGACCAGCATCCATGGCCCAAACCCTGCATTGGTCTCCGAAGTCCCCTCCGGCGCGAGGTCCTGCTTCTCCCCGCCGGCGGACTCAACTAACTCCGGGACCGACGCTGGTCGAAGCAGGGAGCAAACAGTAAAGGCATGGCCGATCTTCCCGCATTCGAAACAAACGAAGGGTAGATTCTCATATTCAACCGGCTGCCAATCATCATCTAACCATATTCTTGGGACGAGAGGCTTGGAGATATCCACTTCTACAGCGAGACGGGCAAACTTCTCCCTTTGTTGAGTAAGGGTGTGGTAATCTAGTTTGATCGTGCGTCCGATCAGATTCCCCAGGCTATTTAGAACCTCCTTGTGGTAAAAATGAATCTTGAGCTCAGGCACATGGACCCAAACTATCATCGTCTTTGGGAGAGGATCCGACACTTTGAAACGAGGCGTCCACTGCTGAACTGCGATGTAATGATCAAATAATCATCCACGGACCATCCGTGAGGGCTTTAAATTAGTCCTGGTCGTTGCTAAGTTTCACCAAGTAACAAGCTTCATCTAGATCCCTGATTTCCATTGCCCCTGTTGGTCGCCATAAAGCTCTGAGGCGAGAGCACAGGGTATGAAATCCGATTTTGATACCTAGTAGACGAACCACCAGAGTGCGGTGCCAAGGAGCGCATAATCTGTTCTTGAACTCCGGTGAAATACTCAAGGCCGGTTCGCCATTACGCTCACCGGGAATCAAATCATGTTCGCCGACCGGAGTCCATTGAATCGCCAACGGTTGTGACGTCGGGACGAGTTGCCCACCTGTGAGCGCACTGGCGTAGGAAAAGGGATGTATCTGCGCCGTCGAGGCTTGAGGAGGCGGTGAAGTCGTGAGCGTCAATTGATTACCGGCGTTAGCGTTTGTCTCTGCTGCGGCTGAGATCGCCCCCAAAACGGCTTTGCCGGCGGATGAATCCACCACCATCGCTGTCATGGATGAGGGCTCTTTTGTTGTTGTGGGCACAACGATAGCAGGTGTTGCGTTATGAATCTGACCCGTGTCCGGCGTACGCCCCGTTGGTGAAAACGCCGGTGCCGGGGAAGGATCCACGCTGAGAGCAGTTGAGAGCATTTTTTGATCTTCTTTGTGGACCAGTTACGGTAACAACACCCCTTGTGGCCAGCTATTAGATGCAACTTAAACTACCAAATAATAGGAGATACCAGTTCCTGCTCCTACCTCCATCCTTGCATCATCGTTCATCACATCCGTCCACTTCATCCCCAAAGCCTCTCGTCGTCCTTGTCGTCATCATCACCGGAGAATGATATAGCAACCAATACACGACATAGTAGAGCTCTTCAGTGGCGGAGGCAGAATTTGAAACTACCCTGTCCTATTTTCCGAATATAAATATATAAATATTTAATAAATATATAATAAATATATAAATATTTAATAAATATATAAATATTTAATAAATATATAAATATTTAATAAATATAATTAAAATAAATAATATCCAAGTAATTTATTCATAGACTAAGAAATAACCGACTAATACAATTATTGTTTGCATAATAACAAATACATTCATTGTTTACACTCTTAAGTGATCCTTTTTTATCTATCCCACTAAATAGTCATTAACAAACTGATCATCAATTCGACTTCGAAATTTTTTCTTAATATATTAATATAAAAATCCTCTTTCTACATTTGCAGTTGCAACTAGTAGTATCAAAACTAGTCTCAGAAGCAAATAAACTGAATAATATAACTTATCCACTTTTGTCTCCAACATGATCCGAAGTTCATTTATCATTTCCTTTCAATCCAACAAATCTCTTATCAGCTATTAAATAATCATAATACCATACAAGTTGTTGTCGAATAATAGTGTTATGAATGAAATCAATAAATCAATTATTTTTTTTCAATTAATGAACAAGTAATGAGTTATGGTACATTGTCAAAATATCCTTATGTTACTTATAGGTATAGTTCAAACATATATATGGGGTTATTTTTTCCCTTCCAAAAAATAAACACAGAGCGCAGTAGCCTCGACGGAATCCGAACCCAACAAACTCAGAAGACAGTCGCTGACGGCAGGTTCTCAAAATGCTCTGTTTTCTCCTTTAATCCTCCGAATCACGATCCACTCCCTGAGGGAGAGAGAGTGATCTGCGAGAGACAGGAAGGGCGAAGTGCAGCGGCGTCGGCAAACGATTGAAACTATCGCCACCGTCGTCGTTCACCTAGAGGAAGGGGAGAAGGTTGGAGGGGGTACATCGACGGAGGGAACGGATGGAGGCCCCTTTAGAGCTTTTGATTTGTTGGTTTTGTGCAGGGAACTGGGAAGGAGAAGAAACCAGCAGGGGTGAAAGGAGTTGCAGAGGAAAAATGAGAAGAGAGAGAGAGTGATATGTGATGGAAATGGGAAAGGCGAGAGATATTTTCTGATTTCCTATGCCTTTGGTTTTTAGCTTAAAACCGAGCCGAACCGAAATATAATTCGGGTCGGTTGAACCGAACCGTATTGTATTTCGGTTCGAAATCGGTTGGACCCATAGCATGATTCAGGGATCCGGTATACACCATTTCGGTTCGGTTTTGACCAAACCGAACCGATGCCCACCCCTAGTCGGCAGAGTTAGGGGGTAATTTGGGTGATAACTTGCCGAGTCCACCACTCTTCCTCGGCGATCAGATAGATTTAATCAAGGAGCCCCACCAGTAATGTTTCTTGGTTACGTGGGATACTCAGCAAAAAGCAATCCCAATACCCTCTCACTATTGGTTTGCTCAAGCAAATCCACAATGGGAAGAGGAAATGCAAGTAGAGACAGATGCGTTAGAAGAAAATCATACTTTGGATCTCGTTCCGAGGACGCCGGAGATGTCAGTGATTGGTTCTAAATGGGTGTATAATGCCAAGATCTAGTCGGATGGAACTCTATAACGCTTTAAAGCTCGCGTAGTTGCTCAAGGATTCCGTCAGGAGTTCAGAATTTACTATGACGATACCTTTGCTCCCGTTGCGGAAATGCCCAGTGTTCGAAGTCTCCTAGCACCTGCCGCGATGAGAGAATGGCCACTAATACAGTTTGATGTGAATAACGTTTTTCTTCATGGTGATTTGAAAGAGATAATCTATATGGAGCCACCGCCGAGATATAAGAAGGTAGGGCCTAACATGGTGTGTAAGCTTGTTCGATCTCTCTATGGATTGAAGAAAGCTCCTCATGCTTGGTTCAAAAAATTCCATGGAACTATTCTGCAGGGTAGTTTTCAGCAAATTCATAACGATCCTTTACTCCTCATTTGTAGGACAGCTCTTGGGATCCTCGCACATCTTCTATAAGTTGACGATATGATTGTAACGGGAGATGATCAGGAAGGGATAAAGAAACTCACGAGTACTCTTAATCTGGCGTTTAATCTTAAGGAACTAGAGGAGGTTTCTTACTTCCTCGATTCGGAGGTGAGTCGTTTGAAGCATGGATTGTTCTTGTGTTAAAGAAAGTATATTTCCGACATGTTATCCTCAACGCAGTTTGAAGAGTACTGCATGCCATGTTCCACACCCATGGAACAAAATCTAAAATTTAGTAAAGACGATAGGGAGTTGTTGGAAGATTAATCATTTTATCGCAGTGTGGTGGGGAGCTTAATTTATCTAGCGCACACACGACCACATATCTCATATGCAGTACAAGTTGTGAGCTAGTTTTTCAGAGTGGCTAGGATGACTCATCTGGATGAAGTAAACAGGTTACTTCGATATCTTAGACACACTAGTGATGTTGGATTGTTCTTCCCAGCAGGAGGAGAATCAAAGATAGAAGCCTTCGCAGATGCCGATTATGCAGGATGTCTAGAAACCAGACATTCTACTTCGAGATGGTGCATCAACTTTGGGAATGCTTTTGTATCATGGCGTTGCAGAAAGCATGATAAAGTGTAAAACTCCTCAACTGAAGCAGAGTACACGATCGATGTCAGAAGTGAGTTCAGAGATGGTTTGGGTACATCGATTGTTTGAGGAATTAGGAGTTACATGTCAGAGTCCTATGGTGCTTAATGGAGACAACCCAATCGCGATTTAGTTTGTAATCAATCCAATTTTTCATGATCGGAATAAACACATCGAGGTGCACGTCCATTACATAAGACAATTCATGGTCGAGGGTATGGTTCAGCTTCGGTACCTGCGAATTGATGAGCAGCTAATTTGGGTCCAATAGTGCACAATTTACCCCTTATTTCTTGATAGTTTGACTTTGCATTTCATTGTCTCTCGACCTATTTCACTACAAGAAAACATGCATTTAGTGTCGGTTATTTTCTATGTTCAGTGTCGGTTTTAACCGACACTAAAAATATTTGTGTCGGTTCACTTAACCGTCACGAAACCTGTCGACACTAAACAAATTTGTGTCGGTTTCGGCTAACCGCCGGAGTAACCGACACGAATTGTTTTTGTGTCGGTTAATTTGCTTCGGTTCAACCTACACTAATTTTTTCCCAGGAATATCCATTTTCTGTATTAGACCATTATTTGTGTCGGTTGAACCGACTTGAAATAACCGACTCTAATCTGTGCTTTTTTTAATAAAAAAGCGACCACTTCGCCGTTTATCGGCCGAACAAGAATCGCCGCCGTCCTAGTTCGCGAGTCCAAAAGCCAGCAGGGGGTTTTTGTCGCCCATCTCCCACTCCTATAGAGAAACTCCTCTATCAAGCAGATTGCGACAAAGTCGAACCCCTCAATCCATTACCCATCTTCCATTGGCAGCAGCAAAGCCCCTCAATCTGCGAGGGAGCTCTTCGGGCGAAGCGATAACGAAGAGGAGAGGGATTTTTCATCGCCATCACTTGGCGGAGGGGAAGTCTCAACAAGAGATCGTTTCCGGATCTTCTCTGTGATCTCCGCCCTCTCCCACCGACGATCTATCTCCTCCAAGTGACCAGCAAAACGTCTCGATCTGGGAGCTAGCTTAGCGAGAAACCTCCTGGGAACAACAATCGCCTGGTTCTAGGATGAAATCGCTGCTAACTATCGGCGATTGTAAGGATCTGCCTCGATCTGTGAACCAGCCGCCATGATCCGGCGATTAAGTCTGGGCACTAGCGAACCTTCCTTTGGAATGGCCTAAACCGTGCGAACTCGGTAGTTACGGAAAGAGAATAGTGGAGGAAGAAGGAGACGTTTATATCCAGAAACCAGAAACCTTCTTCGATTGTATCAAGCGACTAACGGCGACTGCAGCTGCGTAAAGATGGCTCGCGGCGGCAGAAGTGGAAGGCCGTGGGAAGGCTTTTTCTGGTTTGGCTAGAGGGACGAGAAGCTAAAGGGGAAGACGATTTGAATAGAGGATTGAGTTGGGCAATTTTCCTTTCTCTGCTTCTATTTTTCGTTTACAGAGAAAGAAGAATAAGAGAGGAAGAGACAAGGGGGAGGGAGAAAGTGACCGGCCAAAATAAATTGGGGAACTAAAAAAGCAAATCAAAAGTTAAATGAGGGAGAGAGTGAAATTTTGGGTGGGAATGAGAGACTTTGGGCAGGAAGACGAAAAAAATTAAATTTCACTTTGTGTCGGTTGTAACCGACACAATTCAAAAATATTAAGTCGGTTACAACTGACACAAAATGTAACCCACACAAATAAATACAAATTAATTTTTAAAAAATAAATTATAATTTTGTGTCAGTTGTAACCGACGCAATTTCAAATTTTGTGTCGGTTTTTAACCGACACAATAATAACCGACACTAATAACAAAAAATTTGTGTTGGTTGGTTGTCCGACGCAAAATTGTGACACAAATCCTAAATTTTGTGTCGGTTAAGTGAACCGACACGACACAACCGACACAAAACACCTTTTTTCTTGTAGTGTTTTATGCTAGGTTGTACTTGTTTTGTTACATTTCAAGTCCTAGAACGTGTGGGAAGGTCGAGGACGAGTTTTGGGTCAATTGGAGGTCGAAAAGCACAAAAAAGTGAGGAAAAGTCCAAAGTCACGGTTTGGACGCAATTTTCATGGTCGCGAGACCGTAAAAATTGCATCGTGGGCGTGAAGTGCAATTGTTCCGGAGGGTTTTGGACACCTCACTGGACCTCG